AGGGCTCTTCGAAAAGAGGGTTTTTTCCCCAAAATTTGGACCTGTAAATGGGCCAAATTTCAGAAAAGCCTCTTCTGAAAAAACTATTGGAAAAAGGTACGCAAATTGCGGAACGTAATTTGTGTACCTTTTTCCGATAAAGCTCCATAGTCTAGACATTGCTTGGGAGGGACAGAAGAGTTTATCATTGGCAAAATATTCCAAGATATGGAAAGACAGAAGTAGAAATCTCCTTCTTCTGTGTTCAGTATGTTGATAAATTGTATAGTCAAGTACTTGACCTAAGTTTGGTTTGTTATGCAATATATTAAAGAGACCAAATAACCAATATCAATTAGGTTTATTGTTTTAAGTCAGTAATGATACAGCTCAGAAAAAAGACTCAATACAATGCCAGTTTCTGGGAAGCCATCTCGTACAGCTCTGTTATATTTGCCTTACATTGAGAGTGTTCTCCCAATGCTACACCCTTTAGACCGTCTTTAGACCGTCTATTTATAAGTAAAAGATATTGTGAATGTCATCTGATGCTAAATTCAACCAATTATCTTTCTACCTTGTTTTTCTGATTCTGTTGTGTATTCTTTATCTTTTTATTCATAACACGTGCATTCCAAGTACCAAGACTGAAAAGGCATCACCTAGGTTTATAGCTAGGTAGAATATTCATATGTCTGACAGTTTCCCTAGCTACTTAAAACAAAGCTTACATGAGCAAATTCAAGGTGTTTTGGGATGCTTATCATAAGTGATCAATATTATAGTGAAGATTTAGGCCAACTTAGGCTGTTAGTACATAATTAATTCTATTTGTGCTTAATGCAAACTAACATGTATAGGGAGAAAGAAAGAAAGAAAGAAAGAAAGAAAGAAAGAAAGAAAGAAAGAAAGAAAGAAAGAAAGAAAGAAAGAAAGAAAGAAAGAAAGAAAGAAAGAAAGAGAACAATCTGAGAAAATTGCCTCTTTTGTTATAGCCCTGAGCAAGGAGTGGTGCTAAGCTTCACACTTCTCTCTGAATAAAAAGAGGAGACATGTGCCTTTAAGATCTCCCTTGAAGGGCTGGTCTATATTTAAAACTTAGGTCAACCTAGCTACATCACACAGCACACATCTTCACTCACCATGCTGGGGATCAACATTCTGGCATTTGATTTAGTGGGTCTAGTATAGACTCATAAATCAAACACTGAGGGTAGCTCCAGCCAGCATCTGAACTCGTC